CTTTCCATATGGATAGCTGGATAACTGTATGTTTGCATTTGGGTTTGACTGGCGAAGTACTGGTTTAGTGTCAACGGCAGCTACAATTTTTCCAAATTCTGGTTACTTGGGCCGCGAATTGTCCCCATCTTCCCTGTTACTTTCCATCCCCTTAGCGTCTTTCTTCTTTCTCTTCCTTTTCTTCTTTAGACTATTTTTTGCAGTTGCAAGACTACTCTTTCGTGTCACATTTGCTCCTTTTTCTTCTTGCCATCCAGCGTCCATATCACTTCGGAAGGGAAGTGAATGGATTAGAGAGCAGTTTGTGAGAGATGAAACATCGACGAGGATAAGGAAATATGGAAAATTAACTGTTTAACCAGAAACCAATATCATAATGTTCAAACCAACCAATAACCCATTAAATTAACAAACAAGTTTCTACTGGGCTCGAAGTGAGGCTAGATATCTGGTCTACTAGATATTTATAGAGGTGAAGAGGAGATGAATGAAAATGCGTATACTCATAAAAATGTACAGCTGCACAAAAAATTTTGGACTAACACGAAAAGACTAATAGAGAAAGCGTGCATTCTTACTCGTTTCTGCGATGCCCCATTTGGTCTGACTGTCTATATGGCAAAATATGAGCCTGAACAATAACGCAAGCAATTAGAGCGGAGGTGTTCAATGAACAATGCCAACGAGTTACCCACTCGTGCACACACACAAACAGGGCAACATTAGAACTAAAGATTAGGGGTGGGCAGTTCGCATTCTCACCAGTTTCTGTGATTGACCAGGTATATGGACTGTCTACAAGGACAAAGGAGTAAACGTAAGTTCGGCTATCAAACGAATTGCAAACTATGAACGTTTTGATTTACTCACCTTCCCTCTCAAGAGTATATTGAAAGGAGAGACTAAATAGGTGGGGTCTAGGATGTGTTGAAGCAGAAGAAAGGGATGGAAAACCTGAATGCCGTCACAATGAGGGGCAACAGGCGATGAGTGATAAAATACCGTCATTAGTAAAGAGCAGAGTAGTCTAATCTGTGTCTAGTCTGGCAAGTGGATAAGGGGGAAGCGGACACGTACAACACAAAAGTGGATTAAACTCACCAAAATAACATAGACAAAGAATGACGCAGGAGGAGGAGGAGATGGGAGAAAAGTAAATTTGGCTTCGGAGGATGTCAAGATGAGAAAACCAAATGGAAGGTGGGGGAGGAAGGAGCTCTGGCCTCAGTGAAATGCAACTTAGGAAGGTAAGTACATGCGAGTGCATCTGGCTATCGGAATCTATTAGGTGCAAAAGAGAAATGATGCAGGATGACGTGTGGTGATGCACAACGTGAGACGCATTACTGTAAGATAAGAATGAGATACTCACAAAAGTGACATCGAACCGGAATTTTGGTACGGAAGAGGAGACAGGAGGATTTTACTGCCTTCGTCTGTCCGAACATATTGCTTGGCCCTACCAGTGTAAACTGAACCCTAATATCTGCAAGACAAAGTGAGAAAGCCTCCCTTTACCTCAACATCTTTCTAACCCTATTTCAAGTGACAAATGAAGTAGCATTTGAATGATGGAGCATGAAAGCAGCTACGAAGTATAAATGATGGAGCAGATAGCTTAGTCTATTCTAAACTAGCTAAGCCTAATCTAGCCCAACGTAGCTTATTACCATGGATCTACAATGAGCAAATGACACAGCAAGTAAACATGATCCGGTACATCTGCTACTGATTTTGCGTTTGTAAAATGCAGCAAGAAGATCCCTCGGGATGATTAAGGTATGAAGCGAAGAAATTGGCAACTCACACCGGTGCCTCCTGTGCCTAAGCAAATCTCTGCCCCTCACTATAGAGGAGAGTATGGGTGATTCGACCTCACCGGTGGAGGCGAAGAACAATACCTGTTCAGCTAAAAAGCATAAAAGAGCAAATAAAGAGGAAGAAAGGAATGGGAAAGGCAGAGAACAGTAGGGAATGAAATATGGGAATATGAACTGATACTGTGCACAGGGTGGGTTAATTCGGAACAGTTTTTTTGTGATAAGATACTGCGTTTTCATTTAGTTACTTCTTCCGTCTGTTTATCTGTTCATTCATTACTTTATCTACCTCTGCCCATGCAACCGCTGCAACCATAAATTACGGAAAGAGTTGGAACAACTATGCATTCAAATAAACATGAAGTTGGAGCGCCTGCTGTGAGCACACAGACCTCTCCTGACATGCCCATTTACAAAAGAGTGCCATCTGAGACAGCAGCGGGAAA